CATGATCTCTAATACATTTAAATGTAAGCACATTTATGACAGTTGTTACCAATTTCAGTTCAGTTTTTACCAAATTTCAGACAGTTGTTGCCAAATATACATATTACCTCTATTGTATTTATATATATTTATTGATATCTCCAATTTCAGGAGAATAACGATTAACTTGTACTATATTTCCGAAATTACAGGGCGGTAAATCAGGAGCTGGACTGCATGGTAAGAATTCGAATCTTATACGCCAAGATTTTAGCTTATACTACATTCGCATGTTTAATGATGTTTTATACGTTAATGTATAAAATAAATGGTGATGTTTACTTCTTCAAGGAACTAAGTAAATAATTTTAAGCATTTTAATGAGGGCCTTCGTATTTAGCACAAAGTCTCTGATTGTATGCAACGTATCTGTTCATTTGTACGCTGCTATCACAAATCCCAATATTTCTGAAATGAAATTTTGTACCTTAAGTGTGAAATATTCTATTACTGTTCCTTTACCAGCTTAAAATATTTGAACTAACAACGCTCAGTTTTAGACGATAATCTCTATACTGAGCTACACATAACTGTTTCGTACATAATATTTATGAAAATTTTTCAGTCATGCACAAAACTTCCTAATGCGACCCACCTTTCAGCGAGCCACGTTACTTCTCGCAATTCCCGCCCGTTTTTCCAGCCTGGCGTTACTTCTCGCAATTCCCGCCCGTTTTTTCAGCCTGGCGTTACTTCTCGCAATTGCCGCCCGTTTTTCCAGCCTGGCGTTACTTCTCGCAATTCTCGCCAGTTTTTCCAGCCTGGCGTTACTTCTCGCAATTGCCGCCCGTTTTTCCAGCCTGGCGTTACTTCTCGCAATTCTCGCCCGTTTTTCCAGTCTTGCGTTACTTCTCGCAATTTTCGCCCGTTTTTCCAACCTGGCGTTACTTCTCGCAATTCTCGCCCGTTTTTCCAGCCTGGTGTTACTTCTCGCAATTCTCGCCCGTTTTTCCAGCCTGGCGTTACTTCACGCAATTCTCGCCCGTTTTCCCAGCCTGGCGTTACTTCTCGCAATTCTCGCCCGTTTTCCCAGCCTGGCGTTACTTCTCGCAATTCTCGCCAGTTTTTCCAGCCTGGGGAGCAATCGAGTCATGATTGACCTGCGCTGGTTCACGGCCGGACCAATAACTTGTGGCGCTCCAATAAACTGCTGGGCGTAACTGCTGACTCATTCTTGATGGCCCAGGTGCCCTTTAACCAAATGTTGCTCGAATAACCACATTAATTAATGTAACAGCAACGTAGAGAGAATTGCAGTAGTGCCACTTCAGTTAATTTTATTCGTCAGAAATTTTACATAATTAATGGTGGCGAATAATTTTGTAAACGTGGTATTAAGAAAATAACTGCAATGCTTTCTGTTTGAGTTTACATAGCTCTGACAATTTTTCTAATCTTAATGCCAATTCAAACTATTAATTATTGTTTCTTTACCCTCCGATTATATCTATTAGGCTAAAAATTATTATTCAATTTGTTAGGCATTAGTAGGGCAACGTGGGGCAGCGCGCCTCCCACTTTTTTTAGACTAAATTTTTTATGAAGTTTTAATTGATACGAGGTGGTTCTTTGTTTTATTTAAAGGTACAACTAATGAGGAATGTATGATGTGAATTAGACGCCTATAGATTTACTCAATTTTTAATGAAACACTATTTTGTAAAAAGTGTCAAAATGGGCCCATTGCCCCACCCCTGTGGCAATGGGCCCATGGGCTTGGGGCAAGGCGCCCACCCTTGGTCCCTTCACCACAATTGCATATTTTTCGTTTAAAAATGATAAAACAACACTTTACAGTTAAAAATAAGAAAAATGCAATAAAAAAATATGACATTCATCCATTTATTAACAACTCAAAAAATCATATCCTTAACTTGAAGAAAATATACTAAACAGTTATCCACAAATAACTTAATAACGCAAACACTTAGCAAAATGAAAATCCGTACACTTCATCCCAGTGAAACTGTCGACCGGCGGTAGAGAACACGGACCAATATCTGCCATACATAGCGAGAAACCCGCTATGGGCCCATGACCCGCAGTGGGCTCGCTGCCCCATGTTACCCTACTAACCGACTACTGAAGCAAAATGTTCATCTTGCTAACAAAAAACCTATAAAAATACTCTTTAGAATTATTTGAATTTATTTAATTAATTAATTTAATTTAATTTATTTGAAGAAACTTCAAATAAATTAATAATCATAACAATCACACAAAATTAAAATATGGATTCAAATCTTAGATATAATTTTAAAGTTTTTCGTTTGAATTCTAAATTCTAACCAAGAATACCTTCAACAAAAGCAAAGATTATCTAGTGGAAATGTTGCCACGATTATCGATTAGGACAATGGTTGACAAGTGCTGCACGAGCCTAGGGCAGTATTCAAAATAATTCGAGTTTACAAAAAGGCTTGCCTAGCTTAAACAAAACTATATGACATAGCACCTACAGCGGGTAAAATTATCAGGTAACTCAGAGCACCTAGATCAGGTTACATAAAGCACCTGTATCAGATAACATAATACTAGTTTGTAGAACACCAGGCGAAAGCGATTTATAATTAGTTACATAGCCCCATGCGCAGGCGACATGCTATTAGGTTACACAGCACCAGGTGCAGGCGGCATAATATTAGGTTACACAGCACAGGCGCAGGCGACATATATTAGGTTACACAGCACAAGGTGCAGGCGACGTAATATTAGATTACACAGCACCAGGTGCAGGCGGCATAATATTAGGTTACACAGCACAGGCGCAGGCTACATAATATTAGGTTACACAGCACCAGGTGCAGGCGACGTAATATTAGGTTACACAGCACCAGGCGCAGGCTACATAATATTAGGTACACGGCACCAGGCACAGGCGACATAATATTAGGTTACTCGGCACCAGGCACAGGCAACATAATATTAGGTTACACAGCACCAGGCGCAGGCAACTCTGTTGCCGAGTCATTGCAAAGCGACTAAATTTAGTTTCGCCTGTTTTGTGCTCTTAGCATGGAAATACGAACGATTTCATGTGTGATAAAGGCAGGCGTTTTTCCATCTTCTGAAGTTGCATCGTCATTTGTTGATATCTAACGTACCTGCATGCCTTGACCTAACTGAAAGGGGCTAGTGAGTAACCTGTTGTGTAGGTACCTCTGTCACACCATAGCGTGGAAAAACTATCAGGGCTTTTTGAGTATATTTCCTTATGTGGAAAAGGTAGTTATGATAATCTTCGATAATTATACATATCTTGTGATGTACCGTTAGCCTCAGGTGAATAAGAGCCTCATGTTTGGCGTGTTATTTGTCTCGGAGGTTATGAAGTAAGCAGCCAGTTGCTAGTCGCTACTCTCGCCACCCTTAGTCCACTTTTTGCTGCCGGTGCATCACTGATCTCGTTCAACTATGAGCGAAACTTTCACATACATCAATGTTCTCTATATTCATTATGAATAATTTTCATTATTTTTTCATTATGAATACTACAAAATTTCAATTATTTCAATTCAATTTAAATTATTTAAATTTTCAATTATTTTTATCAAAATTGAAATTACTTCCACAGCAAACAGTGATGCTTGTTATATCCTCATTGCGCATTACAAAATTTAGGCAACTTGTCATTCATTTTTTATACACTTCTGCGGAACAAATTTATTTGCTTTGATTGATATATTGTATTGGTTATGTAATTGTATTGGTTCTATAGTCAGTTTCCAGTTTCAAAAAAATTTGAATGTGCATGGCGACTATATACTGTATGCATCGCGCGACGCGTTCGATCAGCATGGGTCATACGGCTTGGTTTTAAATGAACAGGCGAGACGTACCATTCATTACTTTGTATGTGTGTGGGTACACTAGCAGGTTAACGTAGCAACTTAGCTTTCTGGTATCAGGTTAACCCGGCACAGCATGCGAACCGAGTGTTGAATGTTAACCTGATGCAGAAGGTTAAATCATAATGGCCGGCAAACCATCCGCTCATAGAAATAAGGGGAACTTTTCCCAAATATTGATGCAGTTTTTGCCTTCGTAAGGATCATTTTGACCCAGTTTAGCACGCAGTTCAGCGTATCAGTGCTACGTTCAAAAAGTGTTACAATCGAGACAATATGATAGCTTTCTGGTTCACATCCTCGTATACATTGCGACGTCCGCTCACATGCAGGGTAAAAAGATGAAATTGATCAAAGACACGAGACTCTAAAGAAATAAAACAATACTTTTTGATATATTAACAACAATATGGTAGTAATTATTTAAATTACGCTCCAGCAAATCACCAACAAGATATATGGGCATTGATTGATTTATGTGGGCTATTTGCTCTTCAGAACGCAACAGCTGAGATGACACAAATGCATAAGAACCTTTCAAACTGCATATAATTTTTTTTCTAATCCTGGATGCCATAGATTCTAAAATATGACTAAACCGTTACCTTCAGCAAAATAACAGTGATAATTAACTATCCAATGTTTCAAAATGGTTCGGTTTATTCTTAATTGCATTGTTGACAACACTGAAAAAATTTATCACTTTTTTCGCATTTTCAACATGCTCTTCTGTACAACCGAATTCAATCTCAAAAATTATATTTCTGATAATTTTTGAATCAAATAATATTATATTCCTGTCAAGTGCCGTTATTTCTGCAGGCGTTTGGTAACGATTTATGGCCAGTCGCAGCTGAAAAAGGTGGACGTCGCTGCAGGCGATATTAATAACATTAAATATTACTAACAAATATTGAAATTATTATATATTATATTGATAATTTATGGTCAGTTATAGCTGGCTAAGATGCATGGCGCGTGAACGTCGCTGCTGCTTGTTATAGTCTCGCTCGGTCGGTCAGTCGATCAGCCGGCAGGTTTGTAGGTTTCATTGACCAGGAAGGTCAGGGTCACAACATGGTGATGTTTTTGTGGCGCGGTCACATGCTATATAAAGGAAGGGCGTTGAGGGTGAATGCGCACTATCTGAACTGCAGTTTCAGTGACAAATCCTCTCACTCATCATGTACACGGTTAGTTTGTTTTCAAACGATGTTCATGTTAATTGATGAGCATAACAATTCGTTGGATTACTAGAAACAGAAACCTAGAATTTTAAACTAAAATGGCTCCTCGCGTCTCGAATCATGCTCAATGCTGAAATTTTAGATTTTTCTGTATAGTTGGTGTCAACGTGTGTTAGTCACAGGCAACTGAAAATAAAATTTGAAATTTTCATAAATATTGGTTTTCAAAAGGTTTGCATTGAATTGGCGCACATATAAAACTATTGCTAGGTATTCATGATTGTCACAACCTTCATCATTTTTCACCGTCATCCACACAGATCGCCGTTGCTCTCGTCGCAAGCCTCGTTTCCTTGGCCTCAGCTGACGGAGGTTTGGACCACGGCATCGGCATAGGCCATGGCGTTGGAGGTGACATCGGCATTGGCCATGGCGTTGGAGGTGACATCGGCGTAGGCCATGGCGTTGGAGGCGACCTCGGCATAGGCCATGGCGTTGGAGGTGACATCGGCATTGGCCATGGCGTTGGAGGTGACATCGGCATTGGCCATGGCGTTGGAGGCGACCTCGGCATAGGCCATGGCGTTGGAGGCGACATCGGCGTAGGCCATGGCGTTGGAGGCGACCTCGGCATAGGCCATGGCGTTGGAGGCGACCTCGGCGTAGGCCATGGCGTTGGAGGCGACTTTGGTGGAGTCGGAATAGGCGGAGGATTTGGAGGTGGATTTGGTGGAGTCGGACTTGGAGCTGGAGGGTTCGGTGGAGTCGTGGGAGGGAACGTTGTGAGCACCGTGCCCGTGGTCGTGCCTACTCCATTTGCCGTGCACGTGCCAGTCCACGTGCCGGTCGTGAGGGAATACACGGTCCCTCACTTCGTGACCATCGTGAGGAAAGTGAAAGTCCCCGTTGAGGTCATCAAAAAAGTCCCCGTTGAAGTCATCAAGAAAATACCGGTGCCCGTGAAAGTCCCCGTCCACGTCCACAAACATCATGGACACGTTCATCATTAACTTAGATTACCAAATAGTTTATCCCGATAATTTATTTTATAAAATAATCGTTAGCAGGCTTCGCATTTTTTTTCTCTTAAGTCAATGTACGAGAAGAAGTGTAGAAAAACTGAAACGGATTTTTACTTGCCAGTTACAATAAAACTTCAATGATTTTGTACAATACTTTCAATCCTTTACCTGAAACTCTGTAATGTAAGAAGGTATTCGGTTACAGGATTCCAGTGACTAGTATTTGGCGATACAAGAATATTTTTCTGAGCTAATGATGGATTTACGACAGGAGCATTATTAGCTGAGATCAACTAAATCACGTACCGAAGGCGTAACAAAAAGCATTGAGCTAACGCTTTTAACAATATTGATGGAATTATAATGAGAAAATATTTATTCCCTTATAATTCGTTGATCATAAACATTTAAATGCTTGGATGAAATTTCAACGACAAAGGTTACCGCAGGTCAGACAAATTGATGCTACATAAATTATCTAGATCATTGCACTATGCCGAAGCATGCGCAAAGAAAACAGATCTCACAATCAAATTCCATCAGCCTTCACCCGACGAAAATTGAAACCACAGACAGAAAATGTTTAATAGAAACAGAACATGTAGAAAAATTAAAAAAAAGCATCATCAAAATTAAGGCAAAACGTTAAAAATTAGAATTTTCTGATCAAATTACTTAAATATTGAATTTTAGTTTTCCTAGAGATGAATTTGTCGAGAACTGCGTTAAATTGAAAATAGTGAATCAGCAGAAGCCGGAACAATATTTCACCGACCATCAACTATATAATTAGCAAAATGTTTTATAATTATAATTATAATAATTTTATAATTCTACTTAATAATTTTATACTTGGAAAAAGATCATTGCACGCAGAGGAGCTAAACAAACTGGTTTCAATAAACACGTCAAAACGCTTTGAATTTGACACCAACACCAGGCGAATATTGGCAGTATTTAGTATGGCAGATAAATATTTTTGGAAATTGCACCTCCTTCAATTGATAATTTCTATTTTCTGATGTCTCAGCTTTTATGCAGGAGGAAAAATAAATTATCATGAGTACAGCTATCATGAGTTGTTGGGTGTTGTCTCAAGAGGCTCGTGGTGACGCAAATTAATCCGCCGTTTTGTTTAAATTTTTATGTTTACACACGCTTGAGAAATAAAAAAGTCTATAAAAAAGTACTTGAGGGATTTAAACATGGGTACGAGTATAAATGAATGGGATAATCGAGGAAATTTTGTTATTGAGCATTGCACAAAATGAATGCGGCAAATTGAACTAGAGTGAACTTCATTCCAGTACTTCAACTCTCCCTCGTGGTGGTAACTTTAGTTTAGAGTCATGCATGGATAAGAACTTTGATAATGAAGGAGTAGCGCGTTAAAAAAACGTTAAGTTTTCATATCTACAATTATTTATTAATTATAATAATAGAAATACAATATTCACGTAACACAAACGAAGAATCAATAGTCAATACTGTACCAAAAGAATATGATAGAGAACTCCACCGATTTTAATAATATCGTAGTTTTAGTGAAATATTACTCACGCAATTTCTGATGTCATAATTTTCATTTCAAACAAATATTACCCAGTTGAGATCTAATTTTAATTTATATCTGAGAGGAGAGAATTAATTGTTTTTTTAGTATTCGTATTATTAATATTAATATTATTTATTATTAATATTATTAGTATCATTATTAATATTATTATTATTATTATTAATTAATTTATCGGTTTGGTGAAAAGAATATCTGAGCAAATTTGAGATCACCTTCTTTTTATGAGTAAACGGGAATTGAACTCCGTTATAACAATTCAATCTGAAAAATTTTTATATGATGAAACTAATTTGCCCTCAAAAAATTGAGTCATTTTTCTTCACTTCCCACAATTCCTTACTTGAATTTCGTAAGATTTTTACTGCCTCGTTCTTCTATATTGCCTCACGCAGCGTAACTTTACTAATGCTGGATCGTAATTAATACAATCCAATTGTGTGACCTCAGCCATACACACGGCGTCGTCGCATGAAAAAAAGTTATGTTATTGGGAACGTTAATGGACGTTATTTAAGAAATTATGAGAGCAGGGCACTCGGTCACTAATGCTGCCGACTGTCGAATGTCATTAATTTCAACGCGTTGGTCGCAATGTCTCGTTAATTTGACTGCTTGTGTCAAAACCAACTTATTGCATCTCGGCCTCTCCCGTGATAACGCCGTATTAATCGCTCTGTCACTTAAACTAATTTTAATCTCCAGTGTAACTAATTACCAGATTTCTCCAACTAAGATCTCAGTCGACATTGTGAAGAACTTCTATCTTGCTTAGGATATTCGGTACAGATTTATTTACAGATGACTATCGGCGTTCAAGCAATACAATGATGTGAAAATGAATGCTTTGAATAAAATTATTAGTACGATACCTTTATTTGCTGAATTTTTAAAATTTAGTATTAATTAAATATTATTTCTGTTCATTTTTATCGGTAGTTTACTTGGCCATAGTAATAATCCATCAAAATCCTTTATAAACAACCTTAAACTTTATTTCTGAAAATGAATTTAAACGAAAAATGCTCGAACTAATTTCTCGGATGAGCAAGTTAAACCAAGCAAATAATCATGATGCCCGCATAAAAATAAATAAGAAGCGTTAGCTAATAATCAACTCAATAAATAACCTTGATCCATCTAAATTGGGTTAATTTATTCGCGCATCTACGAATAGATCGGTGTAATCCAATTTACAGTAAACCATTGGAAAGTGGAACAATGATATGGCAAAATGAAGCAAAACTTACTGAGCCTTTGCAATAAAAACCAAGGCAAGAGCATTCCAGCTTTCTCTAAACCAAACCCGAGCAGCATAATTTTGCAGGTCATTTTATCGTAAAAACTGTGACCTTCTTGAGCAGATCTACTGGCTGTGAACTTGTTCACATAATAGGTCATCTAACGCAATGGGGGCATGGCAGCTTCACGTTTTCTGTCATCCGTCAATTTTCTATTTGTCCACTTCTGCATAATGTTCTTTATGTACCTATGATAATTAGAATCATAAGTGACATGTTACCGAAAGTTTGATGTCGTTTACTTGCAATTCAAAATGAGGCGCATGGCACTGCGCTGAGTTATGCAACGCATTTTCTGTGTTTTTAACCGCAAACATTTCTGAAGACTATGCAATATACAGGATGACCAAGCCCTTGCCTCTGTGAGTGACCTCAAGTGTGAACCTTCAAGGGTCAGGCCAGGTTTTTGCTGCAGTTGGGGCGGATATAAAAGCGTGAGGCAACAGCCCTCACCACACTCGGTCTGCAGCACCTGTTGTGATAACATCAACATGAATATAGTGAGTAAAGAACTTGAATATTTAATTGATTGAAGTCAGTGCTAGGTATACTTTTTTCAATAAGTTCACTCTCTTCTGGTTAAACGATCCTGTCTTGCAAAGTTAGGTTTAAATAGTCAAATGAGAAAACTTTTGCTGAAAATCTAGTGGGAGGGGAAATCATTTCAGATTCGTTAGAATTGATTTTATTCATTTATCAAATATTTGAAATAGGCGTTTTTTTGTCCTGAATTTCTTAGATACTAAAATGCAAATAATTTATTTTTTGTTTAATAGTAATGTAAAAGTAAAATGACATTTTGATAAAGATATTATAACAATAACATAATTCAAGAATGTATACAAGAAAACCTTAAATAGTTTAGATGAATCAACTAAACTTCATGTAATGCTTAGAACTGTGTTCGTGTAATAGTTTTAAATAATTGCATTATGTATAGCAATCTTGTGTGCGTGCAGCTGACCTGCGTACTCCTGGCCGGTGCCGCCCTCGTGGCCGCCAGGCCGGAGGGTTTGGACGTCCACGCCGGCGACATCGACGGCTTCGGCCATGACTCTGGGGGCTTCGGTGGCGATATTGGCATTGGCCATGGTATTGGCCACGACATTGGCCACGGCATTGGCCACGGCATTGGCCATGGTATTGGCCACGGCATTGGCCATGGTATTGGCCATGATATCGGACATGGCGTAGGTTTTGACCATGCTATCGGGCACGGTGGAGGTATTGGCCACGGAATCGGACATGGTGGAGGATTAGGAGGCGGATTTGGAGGTGGTTTTGGATTAGGTGGTTTCCATGGAGGCGGTGCCATCGTACATTCCCAAGTGAGCGGTAAAGTACTTCATCCCGTCATCACAACCAAAGTCGAGCTGGTCTCGAAGCCTCTCCCCGTCAAGGTTCCCGTCAAAGTACCGATTGTGAAGCACGTGCCGGTACCCAAGACCATCACGAACGTTAAGACAATCAAGGTTCCTTTCGAAGTCGTCAAGACGGTCCCATTCACGGTGGTCAAGACCATCAAGGTACCTGTCAAGATCCCCGTCAAGGTCCACACCACGAGCCATGATTTTGGCCACGGCATCGGCGGCGGGTTTGACGATGGTTTCGGTGGTGGCTTTGGTGGCATTGGTGATATCCATGGAGGTTTCGACGCACATCATTAGAGTTGTATATCTTAGGGCGAACAAATTATTACGTTTACAATTATTTTGTTTTTCTGCTTCATCCCTTGGGTCAGTAAGTTTTATGCTTCCGATGCGAGTTTTTTACTTTTTCATAAAGTTTTGAATGTAATTTTTCGATATTATCCCCTACAACGAACACGCGTCAATGAAATGGACCATACGCTTATTATATTATTTGCCACAGAGACGTGGGCTCTGATTATATAGGAAACGACAGTGAAAGAAGCCAGGAGAATTAATTGATACATTTAGCTGATGTTGTTCCTATGCAATATATATCAGATAGTTCCCTAGTACATTGAACTCATATTGTCTTTTTCTTATATGTATTTATCAAAGTTTATATGATAATGTATTATAAACTTGACACCAGTAATATATAGGACTGATCGAGTGCATAGGCACGACACTCTTGGTATCTAGATATGAACTGAGAATTTTTTACATATGAGGAAATTATGTGGCATTGGGAAACGAAGGGTGTTTTTAGATTTAATAATTGAAACGATTTTCTGCTTTTGTAGGCAAAAAAATTAGTTCAATTTGCAAATTTTACATTTCTTTAAATTTCAAAACAAGACTTGAGTAGTAGTTTTCTGCCATGCATGGTTTGAATGGGTCTTTCTTCAGCTACGGTACTTTACCTTCAGAATTATTAACTGGATTCAGAATGAACAGATTAGGACGGGATTTGCAATAAAGGGATTTATAAATTTCAATTACGCATGCCAGTTCAACATACTAGGGAGTTCCTAAATACGCAGAGCTGTTGTTGTTCTAATATAAAGCAAATTTTTCAACCGAGTCCCACGCATTTCACAATCGTTGAACTGTATACATCGAGAAAATTTATATTCCCTTTAAATACGAATGACAAAGAAACTACAGTCAAGAGCATTTATTCTTCTGAAATGCTACGTGTAGTTGACCAAATAACTGCGTAATAAATTACATTACAGCGCTCCTTAAAATTTTGCGAGTGATGACATCATGACACAACAATGGATACACCACAATCCACATACAATGCTCTCTTATAGTACAATCTCTTGATCAGTAGAACAAAAGGCTCCTGTAAGCTGTACCATTAAAGCGCCCTTCATATTTCACGGCATGACGACCTCACAGGTCTCAACTCCGACAGACACTTTAATATCAAATGCTTAGGGGGCGTGAATCACAGAGCAAATGAAACAGGTTTATATTAAGTCTTTGGGTGCAAATACCTTATTAATTCCTAATGCAGCTCAGAAAACACTATTCGCATCCAAAATAAAAACTATAAAAGCTATCTACGATTACTTAAAATTAAAATTAAATTTGAATTAAATAAATTAGGATTTTTGTAGTGAAAACTTCTGGTGGCATGATGAGAAATAACAGTATAGTATGTTCAAATAGTGACACACTTCTAAGCACACAGCACGAACAGAGAGCAGACGTAGTTCTGATACGCCCTTTTACCCGGCCAAACTGGGTCAGGATGACACACACAATGGCTAAAGGTGCAGCGATATTTTGACAAAGTACCACTCGTTACAGCACTTCTCTTTAACTTCACTTCTTGTTTGTCTGTCTGTCTGCTACAAATCTTATAATCGATTTTTAACACACTTCTACCTCTCCAATCGATCTGAAATTTTGCACACTTGCGTAAAGTTGGAGACAATGCATGAATCAATCGACAGAATAAATAATTATTAAAAATGAAATTTTTCTAATATTAAAAAAATTATAAAATTAATTTTGTCTGCTACAAATTTTATAATCGATATTTAACACACTTCTACCTCTCCAATCTATATGAAATTTTGCACACTTGCGTGAAGTTGGAGACAATGCATGAATCAATTGACAGAATAAATAATTTTGAAAATTTAATTTCTTTTATGTATTAAAATAATTAAAAAATTAATTTCTTAATATTCGAAATTAAAATTAGAAATTCACTGTAAATGTTTTACATTGGAGACACTGGATTTTTTAGAAGTGTTGTCTTTAAAAAGTAATTTTTATGCGTATATTTTTTTCTAAATGTTGTGCATGCAGCAACAAGACGCAGCGCTTGGCACCGCTGCAGCTTCGAGCTCGTCACCGCGTGGGAGGCTGTACGTGTGTGCATTCTTCTCGGCTGTTGCTGCGTACGAAATAATGAGCTGTATCGTAGAATTGATTTATTTGCTCCTTAGCAGGTTTAGCGAGAATGATTCGCTGTGTTACTACTAAGTGCCATACAACTGAATTCCCATGTATTTCTATTGGAGTGAAAGAAATATATTTGAAAGAATATTTTTTCAAAAATATTTCTAAATTGAGGAGTGCCAGTGGAAAAATTGTCAGTAATGAGAGAAAAGTAGTTCTGTGAATAATTTTACCATTTAATTTTGTGAATAATGTTGACATTCTTTTAAATATATTTTTTAAGCTCTAATCTATTAATTTAATTATATTATTGTACGAGAATAGACTATAAGTATTCGCTCTGAAATTTTAGCGTGACACACGAACTTTTAACAAGTGCGTTGTCTGGCAACAAACTTTTAACCAAGCTGACATAAACAGCCTTTTAAAAAGAGAAATATTATCGGCTGATAATTCACGAGCAGGTGGAATTGGAATTGGGGTGCGGGCTGACCTCCGGGCAAGACCGTTAGATCGGTCATTCACGCTGCATAATTTTTTTTACTAGAATAAATGAATAAAAAAAATTAATAGTTCACGTCGCTCTCGGCAGCTAAAAAAATTTAATTAATAAGTATTGATCACAATCATAATAGCCGAAAACATTCAGTTGTACATGTCACCATCCCAAGAAAACAAAAGCAATACTTAAACATTCGGCAAAGTAACTTTTGCTTTCGGACCCTCCGCTCCTCAGGACCCCACTCTTATTATAAATGCAGGATTCCATGATATTCCTTTAATTATAATGTTAACAAACATATCAGTGCTAACTGAACGGCCATCACTGTTTCCAACGCAGTATATATAATGGTTACTATAGCTGCTAAATTGTCAATGGATAACTCAGCTTTACACTTGCAGGAAGGTCATAATTTACTGACACATGCAGCGCTGCTTGCAATTACCCACAACTTCAGTCAACCTGACGAGGCTAGGTTCTCAGATGCATTTTCTTGCTGTCGAAGTCATTAACGAGAACCTTAAAAAAGATTTGAGGAGAACCTTGAGGCTTGTCAAGACAGAAGCCGTTACTTCTGACGAGCTCACACGTGTATTCAAGAAGAATTTATAAGAATTTTCCGCTTATTTTTTAAAGTTAATTTTTGCAACTTTGAGCTCTGGTTAATCAATAAATAATTCAAGTACGATTTGCGGGAACTTTGTGAAAAATTACTGTATCAAAACATAATTTTACTAATTAATTTGGGAAATAACTTCCGTATACAATGACCATTTATTAATATATTTTCGTACAGCACCGGTGCTTCGATATAACATTTTTTCGTAATGATTTATACGTGCATATTTTTTATGCGTAGATATGACGAATATATATGTTAAAAATCAGGCGTATAACAACTCATTGCGAGAACATGAGTCATCCTCATCCACAGCTCAAATAAAGGAATATAAGAACATGACGTTCATCACTCCATCTTATAAGAATTTTTAAGGAAAACTGTTTAGTCTGCTTATATACAGGGTGCAGCCTTCCATTAAATTAACTCATTGTTGCAAGGGCTTGCATGCTTGCTACCCTAACCCAAATACCATCAACATCTTCGTAAACATTATATTTTACAGTGCCATGCCTGCACTGAAAGCCAAGAAATTAAGAGTTGCGCTAAGCAAAGTCATTCGATCGCTCGCAAGCTCGTGGTTATTTTGCATCACCGACACGATAGAGGCTAGCGAGCGGCAAGCCACAAAGAGGCGGGCACAATCACGTCTAAATTCATTTCCTCGAGCGTTTTTAAAAAAATTATTTTAATTCTCTCTGATTAATTATCATTTCTTCATTATCAATTAGATACATAATTATGCGTTGACCGTGTGCGGTCGTGCATGGCAAGTGTTGCTGTTCGTTCATTGTAAGAAATTGAAATTTATTATCTGCACAATGTATAGTCATTTGTCTAGAGCTAATAATCGTGCACTCAGCATCCGCTTGCCAAAAAGCCGTGACTTATTTTCTTTCGACGTTGAGAAACTATGTTGACATAATCGCTGCATTTGCGTATAAGGTAAATGGGTATAAATTCAGATGGAGAACTGCTTGGGTTCAGAAATCTAACATTATTAAATACGGGGTTAGTCAGACAAATTCTTTTGATACGTTTGTCTGACTTTTCTTTTTCAATTTTTTCACAATGGGAGCACACAAATACTAGACAAACATTTTAACTCTTTTCGTATGAACATGGCAGCAAGTAAAATGAATGGTAACCAAGATGACGCCATTTTAAGCTATCTTAGAGGAACTCTAAATTTTTCTACCATATATGTAACCGATTTTAGAAATATTTGGACCAAAACACACATCGTGAGATTCAATTAAAGGCAATTTAAAGCACCTAATAGATGTATCAAATCTATACAGATCTATAGACGCTCAAGTTTTCTGTATCAAATTTACAAAAATATAGACAAGACTTTTTAAACAAAATATGATGACGGCTATTCTTTCTTTTTAAACTCTATTCGTATGCCCTCTTGTAGATCAAATTTCAGTTGAAGTGTGATTATCTAAATGATTAACAATGCTAAGAATTTTCTCATAATAAATCTATCACTTGCAATCTCACTAGACCACAAAATGCACTAACACTTTTCAAAGCATCAGTTTCCTCAAGTTCAGTTTAATCAATAAAATCGCTGAGAGTAGAGAGAGTAGCGTTCGTGATAGCAAACATTAGAAGGGTACGTCGGCACGGTTCAGTTTCACGCATCAGCAAGTTTCTCAAAAGCTGATAGCAATTACATCGGTCCCTTGTAAGGACCGAACACCTGTTCGAACAGCGGTTGCAGCAGCAACTTGACAGCGCAATGAGCGCAGACCCACTAAGAATTTGACGTTGAAATAATGTTGACTAAAAGTTGTTCCAGCGAAATCATCGTTGGTTTCAACGTTATTTGCCTCGTGTG